CTCACACGTGTAGAAGAAAAAGATTTTTTTTATTTTGAGTTTTCTGAATTCTGAAGTGACATTTTGATTCTCTATTGCCACCTCATGATAGATTTGTGTTTTGCACCATTGTAGCTATAGTAGAAGTGGTGGCCCTCACAAAGAAGTCACAGAACGTGGGCCACACAAAGGCATAAAGACATGTATGGGTGTGTGTGTGTGTGTGTGCTGGTGCTTGTTACATCTGCTGGGTTGTGGCAAACTGTCATGTCTCTCTCTTACACACACACACACTCAGTGTCATCCTCTCTCTGCGGATGTTACTGCTAGTAGTGAGTGCTGATGTTGACATCCCCTGTTTATGAATCTGCAGCATGCACACACACACACACACTGCTGGTCAGTGGTCTGTGAGTCAGGGACTTTGTGCTCCACCACAGCTCCGGATAAGGGGCCCTGTTTCTCAGACGCATCATCAGCCCACAGGACTGTGTCCCTGTGAGGGATTACCCGAGAGGCCTACATGGCGCCAGCAGAGCACAGGATGGCCAAACTTTGGCACACGCTGACCTGTCGCAGCCCTGCACACAGCTGATGTGTTTACATGGTCGACATGGACCGACATGAAGCAACAGGAGCTCAGTGAACATTCAGCGGGTTTTTGGAGCTGGTCCAACAGTTTTATGCATAGTGCTTTTGAGATGTCGCCGGTCCTCAGTACAGATTAGGCCCTGGTGTGTTGTAATGTAAGGCGAGTGTATATATGTGTTCTCTCAGGGCGCTGTTTGAGACCAGAGGCCGCTGTGGATATTCCACAGCTGAACTGTGTTTAATTTGATTGATGTCACTCGGCCTGACTTAATCACTTTGTAACTGATCAGTGACCCAATACATTATCACACTGACAGAGCTGAGATGTTGGTGATGAAGATGTTGAGGCTGATGCACCTCATCTGATTAAAACTCACACTCTGTACAGGCTGGTTTAAAGCTTTTCTCTATGAGCACGGAGTGGTTTTGGTTGTTTATTTTTTTCACTTTTATCCAGAGAACGCTTCCTCCGGTGACACACACACACACACACATATGAAGTGTGTGTGAGTAAGAGAGAGAGGCTCTCCTAATGTCAGCAATAATAACAGCGTGATTGTTGAGTAGCTAATCAACACACTACAGAGTTAATGAGCCCATATGAGAGGATCATCTGTGTGTGTGTTTGAGAGAGAGAGAGGTAACCCCAGAAGGAGGCTCTGATTTTATGCACGTGTGTAATTTTATGCATCACACATATGAACAAAAATAGTCATTCTGAATCTATCAAACCTCAAAACTTTCACACACACATGAATAGAAAGGCTGAGAAACAGACACATATACAGTCGCATGTATGTCACGTAGCCGGTGTCACATCGAGGATCCCCTCTGTCTGGAACAACAAGCAGGGAGAGGGGCTGCTGCTGCAAGAACACAGAAACAGCCAAAATACACAGCTGGACAAACACACACTATAAATGTATCAAACACACACACGATGCAGAGCAGAGCGACACAGGCTGAGAGGCCTAGAGATCAATCCACAGGAGCAGACCTTAGAGATGAAGAGTCATCACAGTGTGTTCACTGTGTTCCACCCCTCAACTAAATGCTGTCCCTAATAAACCGGCCACTTCCTTAGAGTCTGGGAGTGGTTTAGGGACAGAGCATGATTCAGCCCTCTGCCATCAGGGTCTGTGGGTGACTCGGAGCTGGATAACAAAAATAAGCATAAAACCTGAGAAACAACACAACGCCAACACACCTGAGCTACTCTGGAGCTCTGGTCTGTGCTTCGGCCTCGGGGTCGGGCTGTTGTGAGTGAAGGCTCGGGTCTCTACATGGGACTCGGGAAGGATTTGGCAGCCTAAGTGTCCAACTGTGTTACATGAATGATACTATTCTATGTCTTAGATTTGCAGTAACATATGTTTGAGTGCAGCGTGGCGCAGATCAGATGTTTGTGATTTGGTGTGTATTACATTCTTCTGGTCTTTTTGTCCGTCAGGTTTTCTCAGGGATCTTCACTGCAGAGATGGTGCTGAAGATCATCGCTCTGGACCCGTACTACTATTTCCAGACGGGCTGGAACATCTTCGACAGCATCATCGTGTCTCTCAGCCTCATGGAGCTCGGCCTGTCCGACGTTGAGGGACTCAGCGTGCTGCGCTCCTTCAGACTGGTCGGTTACACAGCCCAAGTTCATCCCTTAATAATTAGAACCTTTTATGCCCCTGTTACAGACGGAGGGCGTGCACACCGACCACTTATTTTAATATAAAGTAGTTAAAGCCACGTTGCAAGTTCCAAAAAGGTGGGACACATGGAAACCCACTGGAAAATGGAGAATTTGACTTCTGTTGACATGGAATTAACACATTCACTGCTCAGAGATCGTTTTCAGCAGTGAAGTCAAACCTGGCCATGCCACATGTAACGCTGCTTGGACACACATGCGCCTGTTTGTTCTCACGCAAGAAGCTGTCATGTGACACTAAATGATGTTTTTGTATCACGTGACCAAAAACAATCTTTTGCCATGAAAACTGTTCATTTTTGTTTGACTCATTTGTCTGAGAGAAAAACCTTTATAAATAAAAACGTCTCTTTTCCTTTCTCCGTTTCCTCCCAGCTGCGTGTGTTCAAGCTGGCTCGCTCTTGGCCAACCCTCAACACCCTGATCAAGATCATCGGCAACTCCATGGGTGCACTGGGAAACCTGACACTCGTCCTTGCCATCATCGTCTTCATCTTCGCCGTTGTTGGCATGCAGCTGTTTGGGAAGAACTACCAGGTAACTCTGCTGAGCCCTGACCGGGACACGGGCTGGTCGTCACTTGCTGATTACACGGAGCTGACTCTTCTCTCCTGCAGGACTGTGTGTGTAAGATCTCAAAGGATTGCACTCTCCCTCGCTGGCACATGAAGGACTTCTTCCACTCCTTCCTCATCGTCTTCAGGGTGCTGTGTGGCGAGTGGATAGAAACCATGTGGGACTGTATGGAGGTTGCAGGTCAGCCGCTGTGCATCCTCGTCTTCATGCTGGTCATGGTCATCGGCAACCTGGTGGTGAGTGACCTTTGACTGCTATTTATATTTTTGCTTTTGCTTGGACCTGAAGTTCTCAGAGAAATTCTAGATGTATTATAGTGGGTGTTTCTTAAATGTGATGGCTGGTGGGAGGAAGTGCCGGAGCACCCGCTGACTCTCATATTGGTATGTACTGGGTCATGGTTGGTGCCACTTTTTTTTTTCCTTTGTCTCTTTCTCGATCCTCTGTTTCTTGTTGTACATTTACCAGTGCAACTGATTTTATATAGACACACAGAGAGCTCATCTTGCCGGGCAAAGGGAGGAGAGGAAGAGGAGAGGAAAATTTCCTTTTTTCTGATAATGATCTGTCATCTCATCTTACACTCTAACCCCCAACCAAACACACACACAGTGTTCTCTGCACCTCATTTAAGGCCTCTTCCCCCAGCCAGCATAAACACAACACATCTACACCTCTAGTATCAGTCAGTCCATCAGTGTGTGTGTCCGTAGATGCATTCAGAGCAGACAGGAAGTGGTAACTGGAGAGAAGGCGCCTATAACTGCTGGTCAACACACACACACACACACACACACCACGGCTAAATATTAACTTAATTTTAAAATAATTCACCAAGTTGTCAGCGAATATGATGAGAATTCTTTCTCCTTTTATCCTTGAAGTGAAGGAGGAAAGAAGCAAAGAGGAAAGGTCGAGGTTAACAAACAAAACGATGAAAGACGAAAGGAAAAGAGGAGCTGATTGGCAACACGCTCATGATGGATAGATGGAAGAAAGCAAATTAAAAACAAATGTAAAGAAGGATGAGAGAACTAGGTTTCTGAAGAATCAGCTTTCTAAAATATTGCTGCACAACAGCATTTAATATTTGGACAAATACTTCACCCAGCACAATGGGGGAGTCGCTGCACAGCTGTAGTGAAATGATGGAAGATGGTTTACAGGCTGCCAGCTGCATGTGCTACGTTTACAACATGTCCAGGCCGTTTGTTCTGCCAAAGCAGGAGTCAAGTGTTGTCTTCTGGCCTGCCTGCACCTGAGAGTCCAGGTGAAGCTCTGCACGTCGAAAAGAAACCTGCTCACTGCATCATTCTGCATTTGGTGAGGCGTTTATACAAGACTGCCAGGACTATACGTGCACAGTACATACATCACGCGTTATAGGTCACGCTGAGTTAACCCTTTCCTGACGGGGTGCGTAACGTTGCTGGCTTCAGTCTCCATCAGGTGACACAGGTCACTTTTATTTTAATGTTCCTCACTGCTTCATCAAACCCACAACTGGTATGGCGAGAGCCGTGGTAAAGCTACGATGCTTGCTATAAGCATGAGACTGTCCTAATCTTGTGCATCTGTTAATGCGACTGCATGCGATTCACACTCATGCTGTGCTGAAAGTGATAGGTGTCGTGGCTAGAGTGTGATGCCGACTAAATTAATTCAGACAAACCATCCCAATTTAAAGGATCATTTAATATTGCAATTATCCTGAATATTTAAACAGATAATCTTGTAGTTAGGGAAACAGAGAACAGAGACTCTCCTCCTGCAATGTGATAGATAAAGCATTAAGTCAGGGCACCAGTCAGTTCATAGTCTGTCAGTCAGTCTGTCAGCCCACAGTCAGTCAGCGTCTCCCCGGCCAGGTCTGAGCTCACTCAAGGCTCCTCTCTAACCCAGCTTTTTATCTGCTCGCACTTACACAGCCCTCCATGGCCTGAGCCATGAAGACGCGGCCCCATGCCAGCCACCCTCACACACCTTCTTCCGAGCATTGTCTAAACTGTTCAGTACATGAACATCTAGGTCGTTTTCTAAACCTGAACAGAGCACACGAACAGTTCACATAAGGCTACAGCTACAATATATCCATTCCCTATCTGAGGAGGAAGTCACTCAAGATGTTGACCCATAGGCTAAACAAGGGGGACACAGCCCAAGATATTCTTGCCTGCGCCAGAAACAGATCAAGCTTCCGTACACCCTATAGCTCAGCCTTACATCCTTACACAACTATTACAAATAATATCCATATATTATTTATATAGAACTACATACTGTTCTATTACATATTACCTCTGGAACCTTGTTTATTATTAACCACTACATAGGTAAATGTTCCTAAGTTGGGCCTAGTAGGGCAGCTGCACCCTGAGTCTGGTTTTCCTCTGTCACCTGTCTGTAAATGTCTAATTGGAAGTGAAAAGTGAAGTGCAGTCTTAGTGTTCACCAGTCAGTGGATCATGATGTGTGAGAAGCAATAATAGAGTCCCATTCATCTGTACAGCTTAATGCTCTCATGGTTATTTAATAACCATGAACAAGACACTGAACCTCCAGTTGCTCCCGGTGATGTCACCAGTGTGTGAATGCGAGTGCTTGGGAGTGCGAATGGGTGAATGGCCGAATAATTTGAAAGCGCTTTGAGTGTGCTGTAAAAGCGTAGAAACGCGCTATACAAGTATAAGACCATTTACCATTTATAAGTGAGGTGATTTATCCCCTTGGAAATGGCCTCATTTTGTACTGTTCAGCTTGTGTGGTAGTGCTATAGAAAGATAAACATGTACCTTTGTGTTCATATACAGTCAGGGAAAAAATTATTTGAACCCCAGCTGATTTTGTAAGTTTGCCCACTAACAAAGAAATGATCAGTCTACAATGTCATTGGTAGGTTTATGTGAACAGTGAGAGACACAACAATAACAAAAAAATCCAGAAAAATTCATTACAAAAAAAGTTATACATTAATTTGCATTTTCATGAATGAAATAAGTATTTGATCCCCTATCAGTCAGCAAGATCTCTGGCTCCCAGGTGTATTTTATACAGGTAACGAGCTGACATTGGGAGCCCTCTCAGCTCGTTACTTGTATAAAAGAGACCTGTCCACAGACGCAATCAGTCAATCCAGATTCCAAACTCTTCACCATGGCCAAGACCAAAGAGCTTTCCAAGGATGTCAGGGACAAGATTGTGGACCTACACAAGGCTGGAATGGGCTCCAAGACCATCGCCAAGCAGCTGGGTGAGAATGTGACAACAGTTGGTGCGATTATTCGCAAATGGAAGAAACATAAATTAACTGCCAATCTCCATCGGTCTGGATCTCCATGCAAGATCTCACCTCGTGGAGTTTCAATGATAATGAGAACGGTGAGGAAATCAGCCCAGAACTACTTGGGAGGAACTTGTCAATGATCTCAAGGCAGCTGGGACAATAATCACCAAACAAATCGGTTGGTAACACACTACACCGTGAAGGACTGAAATCCTGCTGTACTGTAAAGGTCCCCCTGCTCAAGAAAGCACATCTACAGGCCCGTTTGAAGTTTGCCACTAAACATCTGACTGATTCAGAGGAAGACTGGGTGAAAGTGTTGTGGTCAGATGAGACCAAAATCGAGCTCTTTGGCATTAACTCAACACGCCGTGTTTGTCCCCACCGTCAAATATGGAGGTGGAAACATTATGCTTTGGGGGTGTTTTTCTGCCAAGGGGACAGGACAATTGCACCGCATCAAAGGGAGGATGGATGGGGCCATGTACCGTCAAATCTTGGGTGAGAACCTCCTTCCCTCAGTCAGGGCATTGAAAATGGGTCGTGGTTGGGTATTCCAGCATGACAATGATCCAAAACACACGGCCAAGGCAACAAAGGATTGGCTCAAGAAGAAGCATATTAAGGTCATGGAGTGGCCTAGTCAGTCTCCAGACCTTAATCCCATAGAAAATCTGTGGAGGGAGCTGAAGGTTCAAGTTGCCAAACATCAGCCACGAAACATTAATGACTTGGAGAGGATCTGCAAAGAGGAGTGGGTCAAAATCCCCCCTGAGATGTGTGCAAACCTTGTGGCCAACTACAAGAAACGTCTGACCTCTCTGATTGCCAACAAAGGTTTTGCCACCAAGTACTAAAGCATGTTTTGCAAAGGGATCAAATACTTATTTCATTCATGAAAATGCAAATTACTTTATAACTTTTTTTGTAATGCATTTTTCTGGATTTTTTTTGTTATTGTTGTGTCTCTCACTGTTCACATAAACCTACCATTGACATTGTAGACTGATCATTTCTTTGTTACTGGGCAAACTTACAAAATCAGCTGGGGTTCAAAAAATTTTTTCCCTGACTGTAATAAGTGCCACAGCTTGTAGGGAAGGATTCAAAGGAAGAACAGAGTGTAACAAGGAAGAATACATGAGGGAAGAGAAAAGGAAACCTTTAACAAGGATGAAGGAAACCAGAGAGGAGAGGTGACAAAGGCAGAACAGAAGCTAGAATAAAATTTTTTTTTAAATCAAGCGTAGAAAGGAGTGAAGGAAGGGAGGAAGGAGGACTGAAGGAAATGAATGAAGAGAAGGACCATGGAAAAAAGAGCACAGGCATAACAGCATGTAGAATAGATGGATAAATAAATAATAAGGAAAAAGGGAAGGAATGATGAAAGGACACAATGTAGGAACAGAATGGAAGTATGCATCATGGATGGCAGGAGAGAAAGTAAGTTCAAGGAGGGGAGGAAGAATGAACTGTGAAGGAAGGACGAGCAGAAGGTAGGAAAATACATGGATAAAGGGAAGAAAAGAACAGAGAGAGAAAGTGACAGACTTTATGAATGAAGGAAGGGAGATGGGAAAAGATTTGTGTTTAAGAAGAAAGCAGGGAGACGAGGAAAGGAAGGAAGGATGTAAAGCTCCAGCTCAGCTCAGCGCCGCGCACACAGGACACAGCGAGCGACTCCTGTTGTTTGGTTACGTCTGCTGAGTCAGTGATGTCTGGTGGCGGGCAACAGCATGGGTGTATCCCAAGTCTCTTCACTACATCCCTGTCTCCTTCACTTGCATCTTTTCCACATGGGACTAAAACGCCCTTTCCTCTGATCCTTCGTCTGAAGCGTCCAATTGCCAACTGACTTCTGATAAAGGGGCGTGTTTCAGGGACTTGCCCTGTGTCTTCCTCCACCTCAGTGTACCACCTTTTTGCACAGCAGGAACATGAAACATCTCATCC